TCAATGCTTACTTTGGGTAGGAGATAGTATATCCATGCCTAGTTTGGGTAGGACAGTCTAGGAATGTTCTGATACTTCGACGAAATTGTACTGAAATTGGTGCTCATCCACGTGATTTCTTAATACGTATGAATATTGCAACGGATGCTGTCTACATGCATCAGTGAATTCGTTACTGCTATAAACAGTAAATAGACATGCGTGTCTCCTTAAAAACATGTGCGCGAGCGAGTGGCTAATAAGCGGTGGTGAATTCGGATTAGTACGAATAATGCATTGTGGTGTTCGCACAGGACAAGTCATAATTCAATTCGCAAATGGGAGCGACACGTACCTGCGGGTCGATACCGTAATTGGAAAACACGGCCAGCACGGCTATGGGATCCACGGCCGAGATGAGGGACCCCCACAGTAGACTGCGCAGGAAAGCCAGCCAAACAGGGTGCGCATAACAGTCAGTGTGTGAGAGCGATGTTATCAACGGGGATCAACCATTGTACAGGGCGGAAAGTGACCAGGACAGTTGGCAAAACGGGCGATTTAGTTCGACTCGATACCGTGCAGGTTAGATGGAGAGCACTCTGATACATGCGCACCACAGCCCTGACAAACGGCACGAGACCCCACAATGAGCAGTGCCTGTGGTATATGCACGTTTAGGCAATACACTGACACTTTGTTAAATACGTATGACTTCTTGTATCTCAGGTAAGAGGGAGAACGTAGCGGGTGTCACATACCTTTCAGTAGCAGGAAGCAGGCCAGACACGAACACCAACGCTCCAATGATCTGTTGTGCGAGCGAGTGTGTGTGCAATGAGATGAGGTGTGAGTTGTTTTACAAGAAATCCCCTTTATACATCAGTGACATCCTGCGCAATAAAAGACACACGGGTGGCCGGGCAAGGTTCAAGCTTCAATCGCTATAGTAATCTCAAGCAGAGAATGAAGCGCCTTTGATCGACTACATATACATGAACCACTCACTACCACACACTAGGTATACAGGATCACCTGTATGACTATCTGAGAGATTGCACAGATTGCACAGTTTGCTTATCTGAGCACATAATATGTGTCTCTTAACCCAGAGAACACAAATTGCCCACCGCAAGTTGGTTGTATTCTTGGGAAAATCGGGTTGAACAGACGTTTGCGACTTCTTGTTTAGCGTCCACATGCACGGGCTCATGTATCTTTAACTAGCGCGGTGTTCGTATAGAAGCGCCTGTGAACGTACCAGCATGCACATGACAGTTCCGATAACGGCTAATACGATGATGGATGGCAGGTTAGAGAAGAGCAACGTCTTGGACGGGGCAAAGGCCGATGACTGGAAGATAATCGGCGGCAACAAATCTACAGCCAGAAGAATCAACTGTAAACGTTAACGTTTGGCCAATATACAAGGATGTACTAGAATCATTGGGATATGTGAGGATGGATGATGCTAAAATCAAGATAGGCAACTGGTAACATACGGTAGATTGAGTGCTTGCACGAAGTGAGAGTTGTGGGGGTTAAAGCAACGTGCTCCTTCAAAAGAATAGTAAGCTGAAAATTAGCCATCACCCTCAATGAGGATGATCTGCAGGATATACGGTGCACCTCTAACTCTGCTATGAGTCATCAGCTCAGAAGAATGGTACGAAAGCCAACTAGGGATACCCGACAGATAGACATTGCTCAGAGAATTACGACGTGACATGCAGCAAGGACTCTGTATCTTCACTTACACAGGAAGAATGTATCCTCGTCGATACTCCTCTCCTCCACACCGAATACTTTATAGGCGATGAAGCCAGACGCGACTCCCACAATAACGAACATCCCAGACTCCGGTAGGTACGGGAATTTATATTTAGACTGTAAGGGGCCATACCAAATCAAGCGGTAAATGAGAACAAGACAATATAGTATTGTAATTCAGCTCAGCTCAGCTCGCCAAGATAGAAAAATCGGGCGACTGGTTTCTGGAGCATTGACGGTAAATATCTTCCTGTCGCTGTAGAGTATGTAGCGGAAAACAATACGTACAAGATATGCCCAAGTAGGAATGGTGCCTTACATCGATATATAAGTTGTCCAAACACCACCTGTTCGCATGCAGTATAGCGTATGCTCTCACACAGTAATACAAGTCACCGACTCTAGACAACAGAAGCTGAAAGCCCCATAGTACAAATACACACAACCACAGGCAGGCGAGTGATACCGCAGATACATGTACATGCAGCGTACAATAACATTTCCAAGCGTAACGGACGTAAGCAGAATAACCAGCATGAAGACTATGGCTGACGCCTTGCTTTCCGCCGGACCGTCCCCGCACCTGTTCCAACAGGCAAAGCATGTGTCACTGATTGGGTGAACTAGGGTACTCGAGTATAATGGCGTAAGGAATCCTAACTGGCTGTCAGTGCTTGGTCCTCGTATACTATGGGAATAGTCCGAGATAAGAGGTTGTCGGGACCCATAAGCATTGAGTGGTACGGTACACGATACCGGGCAAAAAAATCTAGCCGATAAGTCAAATTCGACCTTGATGGTACGTGATGAGTAGCTGAAAAGGCTCATCTACC